ACAAAGTTTTTGAAATTTTTGAATTGCTGTGGAGCACCATCAGAAAAATAAATAATTTTCACTGCAGTGGGAAAAGATTCTTTTACAAAGTCAGTTACAATTTTGAGGTATACATAAACAGCTATTGCATCATGATTATTATTATCGGAAATAATAACCAAACTTCGATGAGTTATTTCACTGTTTTGCTTGAAATAGATAACCACGGGAAAAATCGTAGCTTGGTTATTATTCCAATGGAATCCCGGTGCTGCGTTTTAAAGTACAAATGCGTAATTTTCAGCAAAATCGCAAATTGCTAAAAATTCAATATCTTGCAACGATTCTTTGGTTCTTTTCACGAAAGCAGATTGTTCTTTAGCAATAAAATCATGCGGTAAGAGACTAACAACATGATGACAAAATGTTTCGATAAATTCCGGAGAAGCCTTGAAATTGTCTTTCTATAGCGAAAGATGGCGGCAAAAAAAAAAACCAGTCGAAAAAAAACTTATTTTATGCAATTTAACAGAATTGTATAAAACTTTTAAAGAACAACATCCTGATAACCGAATAGGATTATCTAGTTTTGCATCATTGAGACCTTTACATTGTGTACTCGCAGGATCTAGTGGTACTAGTGGAAGTTAATAATTTTATTTTTTGGTAGGGTCTAATTTGGCAAAACTAACTAATAATTCAGCAATTTGTTTGACGCAATATAAAGATTGCTTCAAGCTCATTCTATGTCCTAATTCATCATCTGCTTGTTATTTAATGAAATGCCCGAATTACCCAGGAATTCAAGTTCTCGAGAAGTTATTGGAAACGGTGTTCGATGAAAATGGAGTGGATGATGTCACGTATAAATATTGGATATCTAATCCTCGCTGTAGCCTCGAAAATATCATCAAGGCTTCTCCGGAAAAAGTTCAGAAGTATATATTCTACCGTATTTTCACCATACACTACCGTAGTTGTACCGTAATTTTACCGTTCTTTACCGTACGTTACGGTGTTTTACGGTTTCTACCGTGCAAGTAGAATGCTATTGTAATCTACGGTGACCATACGGTATATCGACCGTATTTTTACCGTATAATACCGTAATTTTACGGTATTTCAGATCCGCCAGGGCTTTCATTAACATTAGCACCTTTGTCTACTAAATAAGCAACCAAATCACTTATTTATTCACTTCTACAGCTTGCATAAGTGTTGTTTTTTCGGAGATTGTTTTCAAATTAATATCAGCTCCCTGATCCAATAACAATTTTGTCATACCTTCGAACTTTCGAAGGATGGAACAATGTAGAGTAATGGAAGACTGTGATTGACCCATAAGTGATTGTTCATCTCGTGAAAGAAAATTTGGAAAAAATTATTATTGAATCTAAGGTTAATGTCAGCGCCGTGATTAAGAAGTAAAGCCGCCATTTTATCGTGTCCTTTGAACACCGCGAGATGAATTAGATGACACAAATCTGTTGTACTGGATGAAACTTCTGTACCGTTTTCAAGAAGAAGCTTCGCACACTTTAAATGATTGTTTAAAACAGCTAGGTGAAGCGGAGTAAATCTAAGTCCTTCTTCAGCTAATTGAGGACTTACAGCAGCACCAATTTGCAGAAGAAACTTAGCGATCTTATGGTGACTGTACCTAGCAGCCACGTGCAATGGTGTCCACATTTCTTCACTAACTTCATTCACATCAACAACACATTTTTCTATTAGCAGTTTCACTTTTTCAATGCCATCCAGATGAAATTCAGAAATTAGCGGCAGATAAAATGGATTTATCTTTGTAATCTTTTGCAAAACACTGAATTTTCTGATAAGTTCAATGTAATATAATTTATACCTCTCCCGTGGGTTTGAACAAACGAACTTTGAACTCTTCTTTGATTGCGCTTTTTTTATAATTTATAAAATCTAGTAACTAAATGTTATGATTAATTTTTGGAGTATTTAAAATACTTTTCACTTGAATAGATTTCGAAAAATTCACTTTGCTTTGAGCGAATTGATTTACAACCTCACTGTACTGAGAGGTAATTAAGACTGAAATATTCATAAATGCTTAGAAGTACCTGGATCTGATTTTACTAAGGTAAAGTGGGATTTTGCAAATTAAAGTGGAGGGGAGTGGGCCGTATCAAAAAGAAGAAAAATAAAGCGGTCTGCCTCATTATTATAGTTAGCAATTAGAAATAATTCACAAAATTTATTTTTAATTAAATCTGTATTTGGTAATCTGACCTCTTGTCTTACATAAATTTTTAAATTACATAAATAATTCTAATTTCTTACACTAAAAATTTCCAATTTTTGAGTAAATAAAGTGAACCACAATGCAAATTTATTTGCATTAATCATATCATATTTTATATTAATTGTTATATATTTACATTAATATAAATTATCAGTCATCCAAGTCCGCTTCTAAATAAATCCAATCTCACAATAATTATAACATTTTTTACACTATATCTTGAACTTAAAAAATCGCCAATAATTTTAATATAAATTAAACGGGAAAATATAAAGTCATCACTTCACTCACATTTATATAAATATAGGTAATACAAAAAAATCATTCATTTTTCATCATTCTGTTCCAGTTTTTGTCAATAATCATTAAACAATCCATTTATTTATGTCATTAATTGTTAAAATAAAAGTTAGTACCGTTGCTTAACTCATCATTCACATATTGATTAATAATCATTTCTTCATTATTTTATACAGTATATATGGCTTGTGACAGTCAATACACAATACACGACACATTTTTTACATTAATTAATTAATTTATTTATTTATTCATTAGTTCCCATGACTATAATTACAGATAGTTAATCATATATATCGCCTAACTATAAGTTATACTTTTTATTTTTAAGGGTATTTTTTCCCCAAGTTTATTAACTACAAACTTCGCTTCCTAATCGGCAGATTAATTTTAAACGAGTTTAAAATTTTTTCAAAATTATTTTCATGAAAATTGAATAATTTTTTATAGTTGAAGAGACTTAAGTGATGATTTCTTCAATAATTCTTAAAATATATTTTTTATAACACTCAAAACAGCTTTTTCTGTCGGCAATAAAGATTTCATCATACTTTGCAATGAAATGTATTATTTAATATTCAATTAATATTAATTTAATAATTTTTACCAGAGAAAAAGTCCAATTGTAAATAATGGAGAAATTTAAAACATAATTTAGTAACATAATTGTAAAAAAATGATCTTACAGAGTAATTTACACAATAATATGTTCATATATGGGTCCCAAATGATTATTTTATGTCGCTTACACTAATATATTTATTATTAATCATTACTCATATGTCTATTTGTTTAAATTAACATTAATTGATATATTTATTAGTATTTTCTTCAAAACATTCATGGTTTATATGATTGGACGTAATGCTAGTGATTTATAGTAGAATTATTTAATCCTAAACCTCCACAGTAGAATTGTTACTTTATTTTCTCGAGCTTATATCGTTCTTAACTCATCCAAGGATTCAAAAAAAATTTCCGTACATTTGAACTGTTTATTGCACGCCTCATAGCGCGAAGCGCGTGAGGTTGTGCTTTATACTCTACTCGTTAAGATCAAGCAATTTTGTGATCTTTAAATGCCTCTATCACAACCATATTACACTTATACAATGATATAAGTAGATGTACACCGAAAAAACACTTAAGTTAAACCATCTGTTACTTTCTAAAATCATTTCATGTTGCTATTTTGAAAAAAAAAAACGTTTTGAAAAAAATTTTACGTGGACGTCCGGATGTCACCCCATTTTGGATGTACCAACGATTACTCCCGAACAAATTGATATTTCAAGACCGGATCTTTTTTATTAGTTTAAGAATTCGATGAACTGGGTCCGTATTGCATATCAGTGCCCTAGCTTACGTATTTTTTTTTAAATTGAATTTTTATTAAAATTCACTACGATACAACCGTACAAAAAAACGGGTTATGAAAAAAATCTGAAAATTTACCTGGAAGCCTTTCTCAATGAGTATAAAAACATATTAAAAAATCAAGAAAATTAAAAAAAAAAAATTTCAAACTGTCCGATTTGGCGTGGAATGCCCCATATATATGTATATAATACGATATAACGTGGCTTGTCACGACGATAGCGTCTACAATTCTTAAGGGATCCTAATGAAACTCAATATACTTTTTTTATAAATGATTACGAAGGTCAAATTTAAATATAAGCTTTATTGATCGATTAGTTTAGAAATTAAAGTAGGGGAACCTGGGGTACGAAAGCCCCCCCGGGGCACGACGGCCCCCCTCAAAAATTAGGTAAAAATTATCGATATTTCATATTAGGAAGAAAGTCTAGTTTAAACATAAAAATTTATTTACAAAAATTTTTTGCTGTCCACTAATAAAATAATACTACGAACTTTTTCCTAGTTTAACTTTCTGTACGCCCAAGTCCAATTAAATGCTTCAAAAAATGATTATTACCGCGCAGCATCTAATTTAATATAATGATTCTATTTCGGTTAATTATTTTATTTAGCTTACGATAAGCATAATCTTTACATTATGAAACACTCATTTTGTTAGATGTTCCAGTATCGGGCCAACTATTGGGTCTAGATTTTTTTAGTGTTCCGGTACTGGGCCTTTTAGACTTGTTCGAAAATTACTTTTGAGTGGCTAATCGTTCAATTTATGAGGTAGTACTCATTATTTTATTTTCTTAACTATTTAAATATTTTTGAAGTAAAGTAAACCAATCATATGACCTCCGTCGTTCCGGTATTGGATCTTTTACCTTATAGCTTCCAAATTTCAGACATACAACTTATATATTAACGTAACTAAATGAAAATCGCATTACTCTCATTCTGTTTTTATTTGAATTAATCAAATTTTAGAATTTAATTTATATACCAATTTAAAATTTTACTTACGTACATCTAGACTTTATTATAATTTAAAATATTAATAAACATTATTTTTTATGTTACAGAACAAAGAATAGCGGTAATTATGGATAGCGAATTTGGAGTGATGAGAAATGCTAGTAAATATTTAAAGACACTAATCAGAACATGAATTTCTTAACTATTCTATAAATGTAAACATTAAATATGAATATCGAAAACGAAGATTCTTCAACTTCGATTGAAGTTAAGTCGAATGGAACTGTAAATATAGGATTAAATCCAAGAACACCACCAAACTGTGCACGTTGTAGAAATCATCGTTTAAAAATTGCTCTCAAAGGTCACAAAAGATATTGCAAGTATCGGAACTGTAACTGTGAAAAGTGTATACTCACGAAGGATCGTCAAAGAGTTATGGCGTTACAAACTGCGCTTAGGAGAGCTCAGGATCAAGATACTTCAAGAGTTCGGAGACCTGAAGAGGTTATTCTATTTTTGTTCCTTAGGGAAACTTTTTTTCCTTTTAATTCAGCCGGTTATTGACAAATATTTGTCAGTTGATGATTTAAAAAGTTTGATTGTCAATATTTTGTCAATTACAGTTTTTATTATTTTTAAGACTTATTAATTTAATTGTCCTTTTTCTCAGCAGGTGGAACCTCGGCCATTGACTCTAGATCGAGAAAGACTAATTACAGCATCTCAACCTACGCGTAGTTTAGAGGGTAGTTGCGATAGTAGCAGTGCAGATTCACCAATAAGTAATCATGGTAGTACTGGTATCCATATTGTCAGTGTTCCAAACTTACAGAAGCTGTCACCGACTCTAAACAACCATACATCCTCAACTACGCAAATATCCGAACCCAGGAGTTGTGAGTCTAATTTATATATAACAAAAATTTTATAAAAAATATAATCTTGATAACTTTTATTATTTGTAAAACTTAAATTTTTAATAAGTACATTTAAATTTGACTATAAAGTGACCTACAATACTTACCGATCTCTACCAAATAAATACGAAATATTTTCTGCATTAAATTTTTTGAAAAATATTTTAAAAGCTGGAGAAATAACACTCATTAATTGCAATATTTGTTGAAGAGAAAGTGGGGAAAATGAGGGCTCCTCACTATAATTTAGTCAAAAAATAAATATTTTTTGTTCCGTTAATTTACTATGATAAACTATTAGGTGAAAAAGACCTCGAAAGAGGAGAAAATTTGAACTAAATTCTCATAAAAAGGCAGGTATGAGATTCGAAAATGAATAATATTCTGAATGAGCGATAAATACATCAGTAAATCATATTATAATTTAAAAATAAATTATATACATAATAAAATGAAAAATTTCTCGATAAATAAATTGTTTAGAAAAATATTTGAATTATTTTGCTATGTCTCGAATTAATCAAGGAAAAATAAGTCTAAGTGCTCATGACTTATGGACTAATTTCACCATAAAAAATTTAACTCCTGTCAACTATAAACGTGAACATATTTTCCATTGTTTATTTTTACTTTAGATTCAAACCGTCCATAAAAAATTAGAAAAACTGTTCACCCTAAAGGCCATCCCTGCAACTTCCCGCTCATTTTGTATTTAAACGCTTCAAACTACACATTACGTTTTTGAGCTCTTCGAGCTCAAAAATATTATTTTTGTGTCAATTTGAGCTCTTCGAGCTTAAAATTCTAATAGCAGTTTAAAGACACAATTTTTTTAATTTTCAAACGGCAATAACTTTTGAATGAATGAACCGATTTTCACGCGGTTGGCGGCAATCGACGCAGTTTTTGAAGCTCCATGAAAAATTTTCAAGTTTAAATCGATCGAGCCATGAATTTCGAAGTTAATACAAAAAAACACTTTTTTCGATTTTTTTCGACAACGATATCTCACGAACGCATCAACCGATTCTAACGTTTTTGGTGGCGATCGATGGGGGTTTTCAAGGTTAAGAGCTGATTAGTTTTTGAGACCGATCGGTTTAGCCAATTCGGAAATATTTAAAAAAAATAAAAAAAAAACAACTTTTTTTTCACTTTTTTTGCATTTTCTCGAAATCTACCGGTCCGAATCGGTTCAAATTTTCAGGAAATCTAAGTTTAGTGAAGCCCTTTCGAATGACACCAACCGCGATGAAATCGGTCGAGTCGTTCAAAAGTTACAAGAGGTTTACACACACACACACACACACACACACACACACACACACACACACACACACACACACACACGAAATGCCTTACGGCGGTACCATGGGGGATCAGAGGATAGAAGAGAAAGGGGTTTAGGGTTTAGTGGGTAGGGGCGCCAGCGTCAAGTTTTAGTATGACGCTGCGTCGAGTCGCCACATATCCGGGCCAACATCTATGCCTAGAATCCGTAAAAAGGATCCCCCCCCCC